GACAGAGAGAGACATAGAGACAGAAAGCGAGAAATCACCCCCCAGGGGGGATGGTCACGCCGCAATCCCTTCTCCTCCATTATCCTCTCGGGATCTTGGGCACGCACGCACACGCGCCCGGCGTGAGTTCTAAGCCACCGGGTCCGGGACACGAACCGCGGTCGACTACGTGGGAGTCCAGCGACCTAGCCATTACGCTAACTGCTGGTTCCCATGTCGATCATCTCTTGATGACCAATGAGCTAAGACCCGGGGCAGCAGCCCCTGGCAGAACCGGATTTTAGTAGCCATTCAGAGAGAAGGGGGAATTCAAGAAGGGAAGGTTGTTCAGGATGCTTTGGGGCACAGTGGTGCCTGCCTTTGAAGTGACATGCTTTCTGTGATGAAATCCAGAAAGTACAAATCGCCAAACAACCGCCTAGAATATGCTTCGTGCAGAGATGTGTGTTGGGAGGGGGGGGAATCCACGGCAGTAACACAATCTGCAGGTTACCCTAAAAATCTCTCTGAATCGCAAATGTTAACAAGACCCTTTGGCTTCAAATATTCAGAGGCTCCGCACAGCTTACCTGGCCCCACCCAAACTCCACCCAGCAGCCAAGACCCTTTGGGGACCAGCTAAAACCTGCCTTTCTGAAGTCATCGCCACACCCTCTAAGCCAGGGCTTCTCACACTCTCCCCATAGATGCAGCAGTGTGGCTCTTAGGTTCTGATCCAACGGACCTGGAGCAGGACCCGACAGTCAGCATTTCTAACAAGCTCCTGGTCAGAGGACCACACTTTCAGTAGTCTACACTCTAACCAAACTACAATCCTCACAATTCCTTAGAGCTACTGGGTGCTTCCATGCCCTCACCCCTTGGCACCTGTATTTCCATCTGCCAGGAGAACACTTCCCCCATACCTTTTCATGCCTTTTAAACTAACTTTCAACTTGAAAGGCTCGCATCAAGTGTCACTTCCCTAAAACCCTCATTAACCCTCAAGAAGCTTAATCCATTTCTCTACACCCCTCCAACACACACACACAAGGTCTTCAAAAAGCTCATGGAAAACGGATATTATGAGAAAAACTATACATAGAGGGCCAGCAGGTGGCATGGAGGTTAAGGTGCTAAATTCCACATGACGGGCCACACGGTTCGCATCCTGGACCAGGCAGACTGAAAATCATACCAGGCATGTGTGTATGTGCACCCAAAATCATGAGAAGAAAAGGAATTGCAGTATAGTCATTCCCCTGGAGTGATTTCTCCTTTCCCTCTCTTTCTCTTTGGTGAGTACACGTGCCCTATAGCAAAAACTAAAAACAAAAACAAAACCTATACATGGATTTTTAAAAGCAATTCTTTGTTTAATTTTATTATTATTATTATTATTTTAATTTAAGCAGAGAGAGAGGAGAAGTGAGAAAACAAGCCACCAGGTCCAGGACTTGAACCACAGTGGCCATGTGGGAATCCAGCACCTTAACCACCATGCCACCTACCAGCCCCAGCAAGGATTTTGAAATATTTTTGGTACCAAAATAAACTCATAGTTTAATTCTATTTTTCTATGAGTTTTTTAAAGTCTCCTCATTTTTCTGTAGTTCATGACTTGGTTTTTGTTTGTTTGTTTTGTTTTGTTTTGTTTTTTCCTGAGAGATTTTTGCTATAGGGCATGTGCACTCACTGGAGAGACAGAGAGCAAGAAAACACCTCACCCTCTCCCTTCTAGGATGGATGGCCACACTGTAGTCCCTTCTCCATTCTTCTCCTGGGAGTTTGGGCACATATGTACAAGCACCTGGTATGAATTTCAAGCTGCTGGGTCTAGGACTTGAACCTTGGTTGGCCAGGTGGGAGAACAACGCCTTAACCATTAAGCCACCTGCTGCCCCCAACTTGGGATATTCTAATTGGGTGTTGAAATACCTACCTGTGACCGCCAGTAGATGGTGAACCACAGGGCATGGCGATGGTTGTTCCCAACACATACTTCCCCAATCCCAATCTGTTTAGGCTTTTGCCAAACAATTCAATACAAAAAGTGAGGATCAGAGTCACTTTGTGCCTAGAGAGGCAGGGCAGCCATGGCTGAGGCCCTGGTGAGCTCCACCCCATGTCCCGGCCCCAGGCTCACCTGGAGGATTGGGCTCAGCCGTGGCATTTGGCTTCTTCTTGCACACGTAGGGCAGGGCAATGCTGCAGTCACGGTTCTGCCAGCCGCCTGAGGACTCAGTGCGGATCACCCCACAGTTTTCCTCACTCGGGTTGTCCGGCTGGTCTGTGGGGAGGGCAAGGTGCCAGCACCGCGGAGGAGAGGTTCACTCCATAGCCCCTGGAGCGCTCCTGCCTCCCTCTGCACCCTCCAAAGACCCTGCGCTCCTGCTGCACCACAGGGCCCTCACTGCTTTCTCACCTGGATCTACATCATCCTGTACTCTCTACCCAGCAATTGTGCAGCCCTGCCCAGGCAGCTAGGTGATGCCGCGCACTGCCCAGAGCTGTGGTTGAAGGGGTGAGTGGAAATCCCCTCGCCCAGGCCTGTGGCGGGGCAGAGTTGTGCCCAAAGGAAGGGCATCATTTCCCAATTTCCGCAGAGGCTTGCACGCTTTGGCTAGAGGGGCCTGGCCCACAAGAGGTGACATTCTCTGCTTCCCCTACCCCACTACTCGCCTGGAGTGAACAGGAGGCCCAGTGTCTGTGGGGTCCCTTCTCCTCCCTGTGCCCCCAGCCCCATGCCTCACCACTCTCCCAGTTGAGATACTTGAGGGGCGAGTTGTCCGACCACTGCCAGCCTCCACTGGTATCCAGGTCATTAAGGCCGATCCACAGTGTGGAGCTGTAGCCAGTGAGGAGCCCTGGCAGCAGGAGGGGACACTGAGGAGGGAAGGCCCCGTACTCAGCCCTCCCACGCTCTCCCCGCCGCCAACAGCATCCCCATGCCCCTCCATCCCCCAGCCCGCCCCAGCTGCCCCCTCACCATTGATGTAGGTCTGCTCATGGATCTCAGTGATGCTCAGCAGGTCTGCCCCCTGCTGCTCACAGCTGGCCCAGGCCTCCCTCCAGGACAGTGTGGACTGGAAGTTAAACTGGTAGCAGCTGTCAGTCAGCTGGTCCTTGTCCCAGAAGGTCTCGCAGTCGTTACCTGCCACCACGACCGGGACAATGGTCCCTCCCTAGGACTCTCCTTCAGGGCCCACATGGGGGTCTCTTGGGGAGTGCAGCCCTCACACAGACGCTCCACATAGGAGGGCCAGCTTCTCACCCCAGCCCCCAGAGTTCTGCCGCCCATGTTGAAGGCCCTCCCCAGGTCCCGGCCCCTCCAGGCACCTCCCTGCCCGCCCTGCTCTCACTCTTGATAGGGCAGAAGCCCCAGCGCTCATCCTTGCCGTAGTCCTGGGTGGTGGCGCACCAGAGGTGCCCATCCTCACGGCCCGTGCTGGTGCAGCTGTGGAACCACTGGTTGTCATACTTGAAGGGGATCGTGCATGGCTTCCCGTGGGAGTTGCCCTGGATGGTGTAGATCTCTGCAGAGGGGAGCTAGGCCTTGGCATCTGGACGGCAGAGGCTGCTTACCCCTCACCCCTCAGGGAAAACCCCCTGTAATCCTGGGAGCTGAGGGTGGGTAGGGGTCAAGAGAGTGGAAGGGGGTGACGGAGCCAGACAGTGGCTTGAAGACTCCCTCTGCTGCTAGGTCAGCCCAGCAGCCTGGGGGATGTCCAGCTAGCCTGAGAAGGTCTCCCTATAGGGCTGGGTGAGGGACCGCCCATCTCCCAGAGGGCTAACCCGATGGAAGCCTTGCTCAGCTACCAGCCCAGCAGGATTGCCCCCCCAGCCCCCTTGTAGGTAACTCTGCTCCCCATCCACACCTGCAAAATGGGCAGTAAGACACCTGTGGGGAATTACCACAGGGACCTCCCCTGGAGAATGGTTCTGAGAGAGGAATTTTCATTTAATTTTTCATTACACATTTTTGTACTGTTTGAAGTCTTTGCAAGCCTGCACCAATTCTGAAATTTTTAACAAAGTCAATTAAATGCTTTGAAGGTAATTTTCTTAATTATTCAGAAATGCTCCCTACTACAATTAAAGACATAACTGCAGAGGGTCTGCAGAAGTAAGCCCTTGTCACCCTAGAGTCTGACATTAGGGGTCCCAGCCCCTCGCCTGCACGCAGCCCCTCACCATAGTAGGGCCGAGCACAAAGATCCTCGTCGCTGCCATAGATGCGCCACTGGCCACTGCGGGTCTGGTCACCCCGCTCCAGAGAACCAGGCTTAGACAGGTTGCCAGCTCGGCCCCCAAGGAGCAGGGACAACTGGTCACCCAGTGTACGACAGTGCCAGCGAAGATTCATTGCCTCCCGGTCACACTCATACATGCCCAAGGAGGCAGTGGTGTTGGTGCCTGGCCAGCCTGTGCCCAGACACTGCATGGTGCCCAGGTTGAAGAGCCGGTTTCGGGAGACCCACTTCCAGCGCTGAGCAGGGAAACTGGCATTGCAGGCTGGGGTGACTCTGACCTGGCCCCCCTGGGCCTCCAGGCAGCCCTGCAGTCCATGGCTGATGATGAGGAAGACGTTGGGTTCTGGAAGGGAAGGGAGGACATGAACCCATCACAGGGCTGTCTTGGCTGGCCTTTGATGACTAGTGTGGTCTAGACGCTGCCTATGTGCCCAACCAGGATTGTGATCAGCTCTCATGGGTTAAGTCGATCGGTCCTCAATACTGACTCTTCGAGGTGAGGGTGAGGGGCACCGCTCTGCCCCTGTGCTGAGACGAGACAGAGCCTGCATGGCCAACATTTGTCCTAGCCCCATGTCCACTTGGAGACAGGACTCAGTCCCCTGTCCCCACCCCAAAAGTAAGCCCACCTCCACACGTCAAGTCCAGTACTGCATACTTTTCTGAAGATCTCTTTATCGTTGTTATTGTTTTTTTTTCATGATAGAGAAAGAGACAGTCACCCTTGACAGAGTCTGGTCAAGCAATCCCTGTCCCCTCTCCCTCCAGCTTGTTAGAATCTTGGGCATATGTGAATCCACAGTGAATTTCAAGTCAATTGGCCCAAAGTTCGAACCCGCAGTCAGCTGTGTACCGTCATGCACTGCAGTTCAATAAGCTACCCCCTGTGCCATCGAGGCTGGGCCACTGTTCTGAAGATATGAGGAGCAGCAGAGGTGTCATATCACACACCTCGATCCCAATCTGTGTAACATAGTGTGGTTTTTCTGGAAAAGTTGTTCTCTGGCCTGGAGGCATTTTTGTCCCTTCCCTTTTGAGCCCCCACCTCACTGATTCCATCCTTACCTCTTTCTAGAACCTTGCAAACCTCGCCCTCCTCCCATATCTGACTGTTCATATCTGCCCCCCACCACAGTTATTTCATGCCTCAATTTGGTTTTCTGAGAGAGATTTTTGCTATATGGCGCACGCACTCACCAGAGAGAGAGAGAGACAGAAAATGAGAAATCATCCCCAGGGGTATTGGCCATGCCTCATGCTGGCCCCAGACCTTTGGAATTTCCAGCCACCAGAATCATGAGCTAAATAAACCTCTATTCTTTATAAATTACCCAATTCTAGGTCTTTCTGGTTAGCAACACAATAACGGACTAACACACTTAGGTGAAGTGCTAACCGTCTCTATGACCCAATTTCCTCATTTTTAGACTTTGGAACCTATGGCAGGCACCCACAGGGGAAGCATAGCAGAGACTTTTGGGATTTTTTTTTTATTTTACTATATATATATATATATTTTTATTAGGTTTTTGCCATAGGGCATGTGCATTCACCAGAGCAAAAGAGACAGAGAGAGAAAAAGCGGGAAATCATCCCCGATGAGATCGGACCATGCTGCAATGCA